GGGGGGCAGCAGCAGGTTGGGGAAGAGGGTAAATGATAAAAAGTAGTATGAAAATCAGGGGGGGAAATAATACTTTTTGTAAAACCTGGTAGTTTTTCAGTAAAAATCAGTTAAAACTTAAAATGAAGGGCCTTATACACGAGGTAGAGTTGCCTCATTAAAACTGCAGTGTCCCTAAAAGTTAAGCCTCAGTACAGATGCCTTAAATCAGGGGTTGGGAATCTAAGTCTTGGGGGGATGGATCCAGCCTGCAGAGAGACTCAGGGCTTTCAATCACAAGTGGGGTGAGTTATTACTGGTCCTTCAGTCTCACAGCAAGTCTCTGAGCCTCAGTGCCTCCCTTCACCTGCAGGACTGGAGCATTACCATAGGTTCTTCCAACTGCCAGGGAAAATCTTGACCCTCAGCACCCCACTGTGGGGCTGGACTGTCAGTGCTGGCTTGCCACACTATGGAGGTTGGAGGGTGGTAAGACTCTAACCTCAGGGCCTTGCAGGGCTAGAGAATGAATGCCAGCTCGCCCCACTTTGGGGGGAAGTCCCAAGCTTGTAGGGAGCAAGTCAGTGAGTTGAGGGGTGGTGAGAGGGTGTGTTGTTTTTGGTTTTTTTGTTCGGTGCCAAGTCATTGAGGGTTTGGGGGTCAGAATGCTTCTCATTTGTGTGCGATCCCCGATTGATTTTTCTGTGGGTCAGTGGCTCCTGACTGAAAAGAGTTTCCCCACCCGTCTTAAATAATTTCATTACCTTACCGAACGTTGCTTAATGCAGTCTGAAATTCATGAAATGAATGCAAAACCTGAGGTGTCCTTGGTATTTTTCAGGATTTGTCCCAAAATACAATTGTTGGAAGAATGTCTCCTCAAAAAGAAAGATGAGCAATTACAATAGGCACTCAGATACTGAGGGGCACAGGAAAACCTAGCAGGATAAGGATAGCCTCTTTAAAAACCATAGTCACTTTTTAAATGGAACAGTAGCATCCATCTCTAAATGTAGTACAAAGAAAATTAATTCAGGAGCAAAAAGCATCTTACAGCTTAGACCTATGCTATCGCCATACAATGTACTGTATGCCCCAAATGCTGCCTTTGGAAACATTACAGCTTGGGAGTTTAGTAAATGTGTTTAGGAGCTGAGATATTATAGCCTTACAACAGGAAACTTTGTATTTGAAGATTATTGTGGTTATTTAGAAGGCTCATCAGGTACCAGCCCCTAGGCTAACACAGTCAGAGCTAAAAAGCAAATGCCAAATAGTCTCATAGCTTATTATTATGCATCCAAACGATAAATTTACCACATGTCTCTAGAGTATGCCATGTTCCTGGAGAAACAGAAAGATTAGCTAACCTGCTGCTCAAGGCTTTGCTCTCTTGCAGGCCTATTTAAGAAAAGAGTGGTTTCTTTTCACTTAGGCAAGATGACATTATGCTGTAGAGAAATTCTTAACAGGATTACATTTTAACATGAGTCTGAGTGTGACAATTTATCCTTCTTTAATATGGACAGCTTCTCATCTAGCTCAGGCTGTTCTGATCAATCAGGGCAATTTCTACATAAAACGATGAAGGCTCACAGAGCTTTTTCCAAAAGCTTCAGAGGGGTAGCCAAGTTAGTCTGTAACAGGAAAAACTTAAAAAACAACAAGTAGTCTAGTAGCACCTTAAAGGCTAACAAAACATGTAGATGGTATCATGAGCTTTGATGGGCACAACCCACTTCTTCAGAGGTATGTGTGAGATTATTGAGACCACACAGAGTGACAATGGCTCCCGCACTCCTATTCTGTGGTTGAAAGTAACCTGTGTGTGTCTAAAGGAGAGACCACAAAGGAGAGACCACAAAGTTACTAACAAGATTGGTCTTAATTCAGACCTGATATATGTTAGAGAGCTCATCTGAAGAGGGATTACCAGACAATCAGAGCTTCTGCCTCTGCAAGAGCCCAAAAGGGATCAAGGTCACACTGAAACTAAGTGTAACTGATATATAAGCCTTGTATTGGCCCGGAGCAAGTGGATGAATTTCAACCTCAATGAGGAAGCACACGAAGAAAGAGATTATAATTCCTACCTCCCTAACAAATGCAACATACACAATGCTGCTTATTAGATAATACACTTAGAAGATGTTCAATTGACTGGTTACTTAAGAATACCAGCACTGGCTGCACTCACAAAAAACTGGTGCTCTTGGGTTCATCTTTTTTTGTGGTTACACAGGTTTTGCCTTCATAAATCTTTTAAAAGTTTCCTGCAACATGTTTTCTTTGCTTTCAAATACTGTGGAAGTGACTCTGATTAATTCCAGGATCCTAAACTCCAGGGAGTGGTGGTTAATAAACTGAGACTATAAAACTCATAGTACAGAGGATAGGTATTGTCACTCAGTCAGTAACTACCACTGATTGAAGCAACAGCACAAGGATAAATTTA